GCTTGCCGGCTTTGTAGCATGACCCTGCACTCTCCCCCAGCTCTTGGGTCCCCAAATGCCACCAACCCAACCGTCACTTACTCAGTCACCAACTCTGCACCAAAGCCACGCGCCAGCAGCTCCGCGGCTCTCACCCCAAATAAGAAGCAATGAGTTTCCCCGTCCCATTTGACCGATCCCACCCCCACCCCCTCCCCAAAGCAGCCCCAGCAGGGAGGCTCGGGCAGTTGCCGACGCGTTCCCACCATGCTGCGTGGGCATGCGAAGACTTTTCTGGGTCCGTGGAGCTAACTGCGCTAGTTCGGGTGTGAGGTGAAGGACGTGCATGCAGACACGGTGTGCAGAAACGTGAAGCATCGTCCCCTCGGTCCCCTTGGCGAGGACTCGGCCAGATGGCTGCCTGGCCACAGGGGAGTGAGACTCTCTTAGCTTTAATTCCAGAAGAACATTGACTGTACATATAAATATTTACTGCAAAGAAGGGATGAGATGTGTCTGCTCTTCGGAGACCCCCTAGAACCGCTGGGGCAGCTGCCGCACACCTCGGCACGCTCCTCATTGAATTCCCTACCTCTCAGACATCAGGAGGGTTTGGGTTTGGTTTTTTTTTTTGTCTCATATTTCAGGCCATTGGTGGTCACACTTTTAAAAACAAAAAAGAAATGTTTAGGATGCAGCTTTGCCATATTCCCTTGGACTCATGCAATATAAACACTTATTTTTTTTTTGTGGGTAACGGGTAAGCAGGAACTGAAGCACTCCCTACCAACTTCTCAGCAACAAACCCATTGCTACCATTAACCGGGGGTGAATTTTACTAATGGAAAGTTTAAAAGCAAAGATCTGGAGCATGGGCTCTAAGCTAGGAACTTCCTTTTCCTTTCCAAAAAAATGATCGAAGGTCTAGAAATTAAAAGATCCTGTGTTAAAATTATTTACACTGGGCAAAGCCGAGCATAAGCCTTGCGCCTTTCTCGGACAATCTGGGAGCAAATCGGATCCAAAGACATGGCAGAAGACCTCCTGTCCTTGCATACTCTAATACCCAAGGGATCGTATAAAACATTAGCAAGTATTCACAGGGCACTTGTTTGCGTTCGGTTTAGCTTCCGGATTGGTTTTCATCACGAGATCTAACAGCAGCGAGCCCCTGCTCCTAGCTCTGATGATGATGAGATACATTCGCAGCGTTTCTTACTTTTGGCCTCACCAAAAAAAAAAAAATTCACATTCGTCCTCCGGCCTGGGCTGTGGTTTGGGGAGTGCTGGAGCCGGCTGCCCTGTAGCTCTAAGGTCTCCTTCTTCTTTACTTCTTCTCCTTCTTCCCAGATTTCTTCTTGTTGCCGCCCGAGGAGCCGGCGCTCTTGGCATCGCGCTTGCCGGCGGCGTTGGTGAGGGTGGCGGTGCTGCCCGGGATGTAGACGTTCTGTCGGTAATCGGGGACGTGTTGCAGGGTGAACTGGGGGCCGTAGCGGGCGCTCAGCCCCATGGTGCCCGTCCCGCCGCCCAGGGTCGAGTTGCCATCAGCAGCTTCTGTGGGGGAT